GGCAGACCTTGCCCGGTCTGACCGGGCGGTGGGGGTTGGATACGTTGAAGCATTCGTATGGAGTTTTCTTCTCGCGCCCGATCGGGCAGACCTTGCCCGGTCTGACCGGGCGGAGAAGGAAAAATACGGAACGCGGATTTTGCGGTTTTAGGTTATCTTATTTTATTATCTTTTTGCCCAAGTATCTTTTAATTAGGGATTAATATAAAACCTCCCTAATATCAGTATTAGGGTGAAGAGAGACAGAGTGAGAGCCGTTCTTGAGAAATACAAGAATCATCTTTGTAATCTTTGCAGTTTATAGTGAAATCATTCGATCTCGGTGCCCGTGGACGTAGCTATCACATCGATAGTGAACCACGTAAATTCTTGGTGTTGTTCTTATTGTTTGCATTGAATTTCTTTATTGTTTTCTTGTTTGTTTACGACCTTTGCTTCCGCTGTCGCACAACAGATTTGATCTCAAGTTTTGAATAACACCTATCAATTCGTCATCATGGTCGAGCCTCCTTATGAATAAAGTTTGAAGATTTGTAGTATCACAATTTCTAATTAATCGTCATGTTTACTTTTTAACTTTTTTTTTAATTATAATATTACATAAATTTCACCTTAATAAGCTTAACCTTTTTAGTTGAAATTAATAAAATAGTGTGTCAATTATGTCAAAGTCTCATCAACCATATATATACTTGTATTAAAAAAAAAAAAAAAAAAAAAAAAAAAAAAAAAAAAAAAAAAACAAGTCGTCTCAAGTCATTAACAATACAAACAACTCCCAATAGTATTATGTGATAATGTGAATACAAAGTTGCCATTTGATATGTTTGGATTGAGAGTAATGTATTACAATGCTGGTTAAAGTCAAATTTAAAAATGAGAATAATGTATTACAAGCCTAGTAAAAGTCAAACTAAAAATGAGAATAATGTATAAGTAAAGATAAAAAGGAAGAGATACTGATGGTGTGATTATAAGGAAGTTTATGTAATTTTGGTGGTGATACTGATGGTGTGATTCACAAACTATTGGGTCTGTCAAGCTTGACCAAATAGTTAGTGCGGTGGAGGAGATGACTATGACAATAAAGAGAACGATGACGATGATGACAACAATGGTGGATCTCCTTCTCTCCCTGTAGGCGGCGGGGACGATGACGTCATCAAAGGCGAAGGAGAAAAAGCGAGGTTATTCATGGCGAAAGAGAGAGAAAGTTTAATTCTCGGATTTTTCGAAAAATGCCCAAAAAATCGAATTGGGGCTTTCTTAAGTGATGTATAATTATTAAAATTGTTTGTCCCATATGATTGTATGTTGAATTGTGAGCATTTTGATGACAAATGCATGTATTTTGGTTGAGAAATGAACAAGTTATGTTATACCTATTACCTTTAATATGAGCTCTTCAATGGAGGTTCCGCCATTGTTATACATATCATCAAACAAATTATACATATTCTAGTATGATATCCTCTATTGACTGGATGAAATCCTCGATTGGTTATATGATATTATGGTTGGATGATATCCTCTATTGGCGGTATGATATCATTTATGACTGTGTCTATGATATCCTCTATTGACTATATGATATCATTTATTATCCAGCCATGATATCATATATCCAATAGTGGATATCATCATCCAGTCAATAAAGAATATCATCCAACCAATAAAGGATATCACATAGCCAATAAAGGATATCTTATGGCCAATAGAGAATATCATCCAGCCAATAGAGAGTATCATCCAGCCAGTAGAAATATCATCAAACCAATAAAGGATATCACATACTCCGTAACCAATAAAGGATATCATATAGACAGTAGAGTATATCATCCAACCAATAAAGGATATAAAAAATCCGCATTTCATCAGTACAAACCGATTAAACATTTCGTCAGCCTGGACTTAACCCTTATATTCTTGAGCTTAAATAGGTAATAGTTACCGTGGATTCATGAGGGTGACATTCCTCCATATATCGTTTTAAGTCATGTTACAATTCACAAATACCTAACTCATTTCATTCATAAACACTTTATTAGCTTATCTTCCTCAAAGTCTAGGGCGGAGCAAAACTACCCGAAAAACCGAAAACCCGTAAAATCGATCTGTAACCGTTCCGAAAATTAGGGTACCCGATTCGATAACCATAATGGTTTGGGTACCCGTTCCGATAATTTGTTATCGAGTATGGTTATTAGGTATCATTTTAAAATTAACGGTTACCGATTCGTTTCGATAAGCATTTTTTTTTGCTTTTTTTCCCTTCTTAAATTCATTGTTTAAAATCTAAACTCTTACTTTTACTTTATAATTACCTTATAATATCAATAATTTTTTTGCTTTTTTTCCCTTCTTAAATTCATTGTTTAAAATCTAAACTCTTACTTTTACTTTATAATTACCTTATAATATCAATAATTAGTAATATTATTAATAATTTGGTCAAAATCATATGATATTGTTGTAAATTAGTGGTAAATTATATCATAATAACTACATAATTAAGGGCATGTTAATATTTACTTATTTTCAGTTCAGTTCAGTTCATTTCAGCTCCAATCAGTTCAGTTCAGTTCAGTTCAGTTCAGCTCCAATCAGTTTAGTTCAGTTCAGTTCAGTTCAGTTCAGCTCTTAATTTCCCTCTCTCATAAAATATTCATTTTAGTTTAGTTCAGTTCAGTTCCAATCAGTTCAGTTCAGTTCAGCTCCAATCAGTTCAGTTCAGCTCAGTTCAGTAAATATGAACAGACCCTAAGTTTAATTATTATTATTGGATATCTTATTGGATACTCGATAACCGATCCGAAAATCAAGGTAGCCGAAGTCTGGGTACCCAAACTTATCGATTCGAGTTATGGAAATCACTTTTAAGAATTTTGGTTATCGGGTCCCCAAACAGCCTATCAAAGACACCTCTAATCACTTGTGTTTTTCAATTCGACTTATTTACCCCTTTAATTTATTACCAACAAGTGTAATTTCTAGCGGTCGTGGGTCTAATGAAACTGAGAAATTAACAGGAACCCGGTTCTTGATTGAGTGTTAATTTCAATTTCTGCATCCCAATTTGAAGAAACTTTCTTTCTAGATTACCATTATAGCTCTGGTAAGTTCCATTTTTATTTATTTATTTATTTTTTTCAAATTTGATTTTAGTCGTATTGTTGAGCTGATGAATTCATATTTATGAATTAATTTATTGTTGGGAAATTCTTAAGAATTCTTAATTGGGTTGGTCTTTTGAATTCTTGGGTTTGCATGGGTTGGGGTATTGGCTGCACTGGCTGATCGTTTTTGAATTTGAGTACTGAAAGAAAGTTTACTAATTGTTGTTTTAATTGTATATGAAGTATTTGTTGTTAATTTGGGGGAGAGAATGTTAAATTGTAATGAGGATATTAATACTTTTGTTAGTTACGTAGTATTAATATTGATTGGCATTATACTTAGATTATTGCATATGTTCAGTTGATGGCTTATTCAATTTTATGAAAAAATTGTTATTTTAGGTATATGTCTCAAGTTGACCACTGATGTGAAATTGATATGAGCTGTGGGTTTTCGACATTGCTTTCGTTTTCTCGGTTGATGCCTGTCAGTATGACTCAGTTTGGTTGGCCAAGATGAGGTATGTTGTATGCTTAGTATTGCTATTGCCTTTCTCATGGTCTGTTCAATTTCAGTTCAGTTCAGCTCCAATCAGTTCAGTTTAGTTCACCTTCTAATTTCCTTTTCTCATAAAATATTCATTTAAGCTCTATTTAGTTCAGTTCAGGTTAGTTCATTAAATGTGAATAGGCCCTTAGCCTATTCATTTCAATGCATCTTAAAAGGGGTTTGATATTTTGCGAAAATATGTTGGTTATGCTTGTTCGTCCTTTATCATTTGGAGAAATTTTGTTTAATGGCACACATTTTATAGTAATGTATGTTTGCTATGCTTGCGATGTAAATCATTAGTGACTTTGTTTATTCAAGATTGACATTGAATACAAAAATATTGTGTAAAAAAAATGATCTTTCCATATAAGTTCAAGAATACAAGGGTTAAGTGTATGTTCTAGATTATAATGCCTTGCACGTTGGATTTCTTTGGTGCTAAGCAAACCTCACATCTTGAATTATTAATGATAGTATGGCTTTGTATTGAAAATGGCATATGTGATTTGAAGTTGCCATATATTTTTATAAAGCTTCTTACTTTAGGACATATAGGATTATTGTGCCCTTCATTGTGCTTTGAGCACTAAAACATCTTTTGGTTAATCTATCTTGCTGTGTGTAGTTGGTAAGGGACAAGGAGAGAAATATAGAAGACTTGTTTGATACATATATTCTGATACGGAGTATAAGGACATGACTCATGAGTACATGACATTTGCTAATAGTGAGCAAAGAAGTGTTTTGTTCGTTTATATCAAATTAGCTGTCAAGGCCGTGCCGTTGTGGCTGGTATGTAGTTGTGATGCTGATTCCATTAGTAACTAAAGAAAATCAAAAACCTAGAAGAGAGCAGATTTGTAGTATAGGGTTCAGTATAAATTTGTTAAGGATTTTTTCCAACTGCAGTTACAAATCTTGGAGAATCATATCAACCATAATTTGATATGCAATTTTCAGTTTAAGTTTATTTAAAAATAAGTGCTTTTAGGAATTCAAGACCCTAATGTTGTTCATAATAATCAATTTTGACTTGAATGTTCAAGTGTGATTCAAACATCCATATTTGTTAATTGTTATACATCCAACACACCCTTACTCAGAGTTAAAATTTGTGCTGATTGGGTTCTGTTCTTACAGATGCGTATACTTCAGTTAATAATACATATCTTTTGACAAAATAATCTGTTTTATTATTCTTGCTAAACAAAAAATTTCTGCTTAGATTATTTGGGTAATTCTCATATAATTGATGTAATAATTACTGCACTTGAAAGTTGAAACTTAATGCAGAGGCAGATCAGTTTAAATTGGTCATAAGTGTTGCCAATGAGGAAATCAATTGTAGGATGATTTATCACTTAGATTCATTGGCTGAAGGTAGATCGTCTCTCTCTCTCTCTCTCTCTCTATAGTTGACCACGTCAGTTTTTCCACATAAACTCTCTTATTTGCATGTACTGTGTTTTTTTTTTTTTTTTTTTTTTCTATTGTATTGTACTTAAACAAGCATGTTAACAAGTGTCATATCTTCACCTCGCTGTGCATGTTAGCATGTTATCATATTATTGGAATCACTCAATCTAGTTGTTTAAGTGGTTATCTAGCTAGGAGACCAAATTCTCTGTAAATCTTATTAACATGAAATCATATTTGGTTATAGTTGTTGTTCAACATTGCATAGCTATAAGTTGTGGCGGCGCACATTATGATGTTACTTGATGGGACTTCAGGGTCGGAGTTCATGTATTTTGTGCAACAAATGGTAAGTATCTTGACATAAAATTGCTCATTGTATGTTACAGTTTATTAAAAGGGGTTAGTGAATTGAAATCACTTAGCTTAGCCATAACCGCTTTTGTCACTATCTTTTCCTCACTTCACTTATTAATGTATGTCAAACTAGATGACCTTAACTCCTTAAGCTATCTTCTACAGTTCTACTCATATCTTTATTCATTCTTGCTTTTCAATCATAAGTAGTATAATAAAAGAATAAAAGACGAAGCTGGGAGAATGAAAAATGAGGTAATAAGATATTTCATTTATTCACAGCTTTCGTATCATGTTGGCTGTCATTGCAAGAACAGGAGTCAATATTTTATCATCTAATTTTTTTATCGGGAAGTTGCTTTCATATTCTATTGAAGTGTCTCCTACTCCCTTTGTCCCATAATATAGTTCATGTTTTCCTATTTTGGAGTTCCAAAATGTTGTTCTTGTTTCTATTTTGGATATTACGTAAAGACCATTATACCCTCACTTTTTTTTTAACTTTATTCATTGTACTTCCTAATTTACCCTTGAATTTTGCACATGCCTTGTACTTTTTCCCACTTTTTCTCTCTAACTTTTGTCTATGATTGTACTCTTCACTTTTATTAATGTACTTCATCCAGTTTCTCCTCCTATTTCTTAAATACCGAGAAAAAACACAAACATGAACTATATTACGGGATGGAGGGAGTATCTCTTTTGCTCTTGTTGACAAGTTCAATTTATTGGATAAAGGAAATGGAAATGACAATTGCTAAATCTTGGGATAAGTTTTAATTTTAACTAATGGGCTTGGTCACCGTGTAGTCAGTATTGAGCTCTTTTATAAAAGTTTATCACAGTTTTGTCCTTCGACTTCCTATACATTATTTATCTTTTTGAGGTTTCAGCTATTGCTAAGCAATTAATGACTTGTTCGCTCACGGACTGGGTTGAAGGTTCCATGGAAGATTTTTAGGCAGATGAGCACTCAATATACAAAAATTATGATCACTTCTGTTATCAAGGTCAAGGTACTTTTTTTATTTTTTTATTTTTTATTTATTCAAGAACTATATCTTATACTTCAGTTTATGGCCAAACATAAAGTTTCGCGTACATTGTTTGGGGATTTTTCTGTGAGTGAATGTAAATTTATTGCCAGTGATGAAATCAATGCTAGCATAATCTTTCGCATTGATCATGTCTTTGATTACTTCTGCGGATTGCTGAAGGTAGATGATTGTTCTTTCTCTGTTTTATTTTTGGGAGATCATTTATCCATATGAGGCTTTTGTTTCTCCTGTTTGCAGGCACTTTGTTGTTTTAATGATTATATAATACCTAAACATGCATGCTGACAAGCGACATATCTTCATGTCAGAGACTCAGAGTGTGACAAAATTTTCTATTCATCTGTTTAGTGTGAAACCATGACGAATATATATGTTGTTTTACACACAGCAGAAGTTGTGATGGTGCATCTCCATTGGATCTGAGTACATGATTATGTTACTAGATGGAGCTTTAGGTTTAGTGTTCTTCTATGTGGTGCAACAAAGGATCTATTTCGAAGAGGCTACTACTCCGTGAAGCTATGTATCTTGATACTGTACTACCACACTTAATTCATAAAGGTTTTTTTATTTTGAAATCACTTGACTTAACCACACATGGCACTATCTTTTTCTCGCTTCATTTGTTAACGTATTTTAAACTAGGTGGTTTTAATTTTTCTTCTAATCATATTTACATCGGCATTCTCTTTTGTTTTTTTGTTGCTATAAAGAAATTGGATAACGATTCTACATTTTTCCTTCATATAATTTTATCATCTTTTTCCACCCCATAAGGTGTTTGTAAGATGAAAAAAATGGAAAAATAGAAGTAAATAAGTTATTTCATTCATTTACAACAGCTGTAGTTTCTCATATTCTCATGGCAGTTTCATGTTTGTTGCCATCACAAGAATCAGAGTCAAAGTTTTTATTGTTTATTTTATTTGTCTTAAAGTTGCTATCATTCTTTAAGTCTTTTACCTATTGTTTTTTCTTGTTGACGTGTTTAAAATTTTTGGATTAAAGAAAATGGAAGTGACGATTGGAAAAGTTTTATTTTTCATTTTAATGTTGAAGTAGTAGCTGATGAGTTTTATCATCATATGATCAATATTGAGATCTTTCTTAAGAGTTGAAATCTAATTCAATTTCTTAATCTTCTCCTTTTTCTTTCTATCTTTTTTTTTTTTTTTTTTTTTTTTAAAAGTGACTTTAAGCAATCTGGCTTTAGCTAAGCAATCTAGTTCTATTGATTAGATCGCTCATGGAGTTGATAGTTGATCGTATGTTCAATGGAAGATTCATATGGTAGATGAGCTTTGAATATATGTACAAATATTTTGGTCGCTATGGTTATCAAGGTATGAAATATCTTTTTTTTTCTTCTTTTTTTTTTTTTTTTTAAGTTATGAATTATTAGCTTTAGAGTGCATTTGTTTAAAAATGTTAAAATATTTATTTAGGTGATGTGAAATCTATGCAATCTTAATTGTCTCTAATGTGAATTATTGCTCTTATTTTTTATATTTTTTATATACTTTGTATGTCATTTATGTGGAAGCAGTCACCCAAAAAATTTGTTGTTATTAGGTTTTGGACTCCATTTGTAGACCCTAGACAATGTATGAGTTTCTGCATCTCATTATCTGGCTTAGTTTGTACTTGCCTCTACATATAAGCCTATGACTAACACTGCTAAGTTCTGGTTTGAGGGGTGTAGCTGGTTTAGAGGTCTCAATACCTACCATTCAAGAGTTGCTTGGACAATCATATCACATCACATTACATGTATGTAGTGGACTCAAAGCTCAAATACTGATTATTCTTTTAAATTCCTTAGGTTGCTGACTAGGCGCTTTTAATTGTGAAAAGAAACGTGATAATTACCTTTTGAAGATGAACTATGTACCTCTTTTGATTGTCTTGAATCAGCTATTATTGTAGGGAGATATCATTGATCACACCTATAAGGTAAGCTATATATGAACAAATGGAAAGATATCAATGCTTTAATTTTTATTTATTTAGGCATTTATAATACAATCAATGGGATGCTTAGAATAATTTTATGATTTTTACCTATCAAATGTGATACCAATCCATCTCAGAATGATGTGGAGACTCTATCTTTAAGCTCTAGTTGATTATCCCTTTTCCAAGAGCCCTATATAAATGATACACTAGGTCTCATTATTATCCATCTCTTTATGTTTGCTTCTTTTAAAATTCTCCTCACTCCTATGTTTTTTTTTTCATTGTTAGGATGGAATCCCAAAAGTATTTATGTCTTTGTTACCATGAAATGTCCTAGGAAGGAGAAGAAAAAGAAGAGATCTAAGTGGTGATACGTATCATATTGCATTTGCAATTCACCAAAATAGCCTACAAATTCATTGCCATTGAAAACCTAAGGAATCTTGTCCCAAATATATGGTTCACCTTGAACCATCCTTAAAATGGGTAAGATTATATTTACCTGGTGTAAACTCTTCAAGTGAATTTGTTCACCCAACCTAACAAAGTAAATCAACTCCACTCTCGTATCTAGTGGTACTTCGTAAGGATGGGTTTTTTATTTTTTATTTGTCGCCTTATGGCATGCCCATCTTATGGTATGCCTATCTTGTAAGGTGCTATTCTCGTCAAATTTGTTTGCGTCATATTATCCGAAAGTTTAATTTCTACCATTTGTTAAAGATGTACCACAAGATGGAAATAAGGGTCACAGTTCTAGTCAACATGATGGGTTTAAGTCCAATTTAGTTTTATAATTGAGTTGTGCTAAAAGCCTCTCAGAAATTTTGTAAAACTTTATATAATTAAATTATAAAATAAGATTCATGGCCCATCTGGTTAAGTTTGGGCTGTTAATGTTTGGTTCAGATCAAGTTTGAGTTTTTTCTAAGTAATTTCACTATTTCAGATTGGATTATCGGATTGTTAAGGGACTGCAAGCTATGAATGGAATTGATCTCTTTCCTTGGTTTTTATTGTCATGTTTGCAAATTGAAATTCTACTTTGGCCATACGATTGGAATCGATATCTTTCCTTGGTATTGTCATGTTTGCAAATTGAAATTCTACTTTGGCCATGGCACTCATTTGTTAAAGATTGTAGCTTATTTACTAGCACGAGAGGATGTGTTGGTTCATTGGTATACGAAGTCATAAATATTATTTGGTTCTTATTCTTTTGAAGTTGCTTTTAGAGTGAAGATTAGGTTTTGAAGTTTTACAATATTGACCTTTATGACTATACAAATAAATTATGTACTCTCTCGTTATTTGTTACATTTCTAGGTATATATATGATGCTCAGATTAGAAAACATGGATGCAAATTTCGTTATTACATTATTGATTTTTTTTTTCTTTTCTTATTGGAATATTTATAATAGTTGAATAACGAAAATTGTTTTGATTGTTTGAAAACCGGTATTAAAGTCTGGATCAAAATTTTAAAAGGGTTAAACATAAGCTTAAAATATAATGTACTCCGTAGGATTTTTCTGGACTGAATAATTGAGACTTGAGAGAAGAGGAAGAGAGAGATAGAAAAAGTGAGAGAGTTCAGGAAGAGTAAATATGTGAAAGATGATTTTGAAGAGATTTTTTTTTAGATAACTATTTGAGCTGAGGTAGCAGCAAGTCTCAAGTTGGGTTGGATTCGGGCATGTTGTTTATTTATCAAAGCAACGTCTAAGTGGTTAATCCCTTGATGGGCCAACTTATATTATGTTAGGAATTAGGACTATCTATGCTTTTGAAAGTTGACAATATAACTAAACATGAACCATTTGGGTTTAATTGTTAAAGGTTAAAAGAACCACATTGATTCACATGTATGTAATATGCAATTATGCATTCACTAATGAAATTATATATTCCAAGGTCAGGATTTTCATTTTCAAAGCTATTCTAAACATCCATCGAATCGTTTCATCTTTCAGAAACTTGATTAGGTACTTGGTTTGGGCCGTTCAAGTTGTTAATGGGTGTTTTGATCTACTATAAGTATTATAGAGCCACTTCATTGGTTAGTGTTTTTTTTCAAGTGCAGCACCTTCATAATAGGCCTTATGTGCAATGATCCTAACAATGAAAAATCATGAAAACTTGTGCTTGCTTGATTCCTTAATTCATGCATGCACGTAGTTTGTTTGTGTTGTGATTGATGAATCATTAACAGTTAGGATTGATTTTCTTGGCACATATGGATTTCATATTGAACTTACTATGTATAATTATCTACATGGATGGGTATTCCAATTTGGAAAGGATTTCCTTGTGTTGAATGAGGTTACGTCATGTTTGATTGTTTGCTTAGTTAATGAGTGCACTTAGTCATTATTAGCTGTGATAATATTCGGATCGATGTCGGTATGACTAGATTTTAGGTTGTTTGCTAGATTTCCTTAATTGAACATATTATTGCTTTACATGGATGGACTATCAGTCGGTGCATAGTGAGTTGGATAATTCTAGCTTCTGTTTTGAGGCATTTCTGGTTTTCCTAAGTTGCCATGTTGGACTTTGGAAGGCTTAAGGAGAGGTAAATTCTCCAGTATGTGTCTGTCTTGTTGTTTTGTGGCTGTGTGACTAAAAACATAGAAGTGATTAAATCATTCAACGTAACTCTCATCGTGCATCTTTATAGGATAGAGATGTTTTCCTGCTTTCTTGAAAGCATTTCTAAATTTTGCAATATTGTAGGACACTTTTTGCATGAACATCATTCTCTGTGGCTTAAATTCCTTTCTTAGTGCCTCATTTATGATATAGGAAGTAGTTATTGGATAAATTAACTGATGGACTGTGGACCAGTAAACTGTAAAATAAGATGATGACTCTTGGGAATTATTTAGGCAAGAGTCTTTTTGAGGATGACTACTTAGGAATTATTTAGGCAAGAGTCTTTATGAGGATGACTACTTAAGAATTATTTCTTCCAAGATTTAACCTCAATCTATAATTAATTTTTTTGTGAAGAGGTGATTTTACTCTTTGTTCTGTTTTTTGTATGTGTATTGATGAGCACAACGTTAGAACTTTGTTATTAGTGTTAGAGGCTTAGAGCTGTTATAAGAAGTTTCTTATGAATGATGAAAGTTATGTTTGCTTGAATTGGCTGCTCGAGTCTAGATTCTCTAGATCACCCTTCTCCACTGAGATTTTCTAAAATCAGAAGCTAATTGGTTATAGAGATAAATAAAATGGAAAATTGGAACCATGTTGCAAGTGCTGTGCTGCAGAAGTTCTCTTCATGAAAGTTGGTTTTTGAGATGAAGGCAAGGTATCAGAAATGTTGCCACTATGTCTATTGAAGGTTATGAACCATAGTCTTGGCTGTAAGACGTATACTTGCTTTGAATTGAATGCTTATCATTCTCATATGCCATTGCAATCATTATTTCTTTTTTCTTTTTCTTTTTTTTAAAACATTTCTTTTTTCTTTTTTTTATATATCTTTCTGGTAGTAAGATTCAATATAAAGGGTTTACAAAAGTTGCCATATAGGATTAATTCTTCAACGAAGTTTATGAATAGTAATGGAAGTGTTGCTCAAATTTATAATGGCTTGGAAATTTCCTAAACACATACTCTGTATGATCTTGTTGATACATTTGCTTGGGATTTTACAGAATAAGTCTTTTTAAAGTCAAAGATGTGCAAACTATATGAAAGTGGCTAGTGTTTCTCAAGTTCCAACTGGCAACGGTATTGTAATTGCAGCACTAAGCAGTTTGTTTAATTATATCCTTGAAGTAATTCTAAATATTATGCTGGATTCTACTCCAAAGCACTGAATTATAAATTTACTGTGTAGCCTATAGATGTTAGCGTTGTGGTGAAAGTCACCTGACCACTCTTGGTTGTTGTGCCTACTGCAGACTGCCCATTAATGGTATCAAACAATAAATCGGTGAGATCTGTGCTCTCCATACACTCATGTTATATATATTTCTTAAATACAATTATATTACTTCCGAGAAATGATCTTAGTGATGTACTGATGTGTTTAAGATATTTTCTTGCATATTCAGGTTGTCTCAAAGTGTATATCATCTTCTGCATGTTTTGTGGTGTATCTGTGTGTGCAGATGTTTGCAGTTTCTCTATGTATGATCATTTATGGCATGTGGCGTGATTGTTAAGGTTCATTTACAACACATTAGATTGTCAATAGAAGGAACGAAAGAACCAAACTTGTCTATCCTATCAAAAAAATCTTGCAATCAGATATGCTTCTGAAATCTTCTACCTTCACCATTGCGTTCAAAAATTCGATTTCTAGGAGAAAATGAAAATGACAATTGCTAGCTCAAATGTTCCTCGGGGGGTTTATTTTTCTGCCTTATTGTTGAAGTAGCTAACTGATGGATATTTAGAATAACACTACTCTTATCAGTGATGAGGTCTCATTAGGGTTAAAAATTTTATTTGTTTGGTTATCCCCTTCATGGTGGTTCTTTCACAGCTCTTGCTTCATGATTTTTTTTTTTTTTTTTATATAAATTTAGCGATGTATTCTGATTGCCTATGGTTTTGCTGCTGTAGTATCACTGACTCCATGGAAAACTATCCGGTGAATGCACTGCAAGTTAAAGTCTTCATCTGTTTTGCTGTGAATATTCATAAACTACTAGCACAGTTACGAAAATTTGAGATTAAACGCATTTGTTAATTTAATATTTCATCTCATTTTAGCTATTTGTCATTTAGCCACACAACTATATTGTTTTTTTTTTTTTTTCCCAAATTACTGTACTGATTTACTCTCAGGAAATAGTAATGCATGAATTTGTTTAAAATAGTGTGTGCAATTCATACTTTTTAAAAAGCCTGCAACAAAACGTCTGAAAATTTTTCTAAGGCAGACTTTAATAAGGTTAAATTTCTTCAACATGTGGAGTAATTATGTACACATATAGTTGCCTATAATTTGAACTTGACGCTGCTGTATTTTTGAACCTTTAGGCTCCATTAGACATCATTGCAACATCATATAGTGAGCTCAAGTCCTGAAACACAGAGAAGCCTATTTCAAGTCTTATAATATTGTCTGAACAGTAACTACAATGTTATGATATAGCGAGCCAACAATATAATAGTTTCATTCTGTTCAACCGCATATATAGGCCCTGTTTGACAATTCTTTTATCTGTTAGCTGCTTTGAGTTAGCTGTTTGCATTAACAATTTTGACTAATTGATTGTAATTAGCAGATTAGCTACATGTGTCAAAGTGTTGGTAACCAGCTGTTAATTTTTGAGTAAAACTAAAAGCTCTTTCAAAAAGCTCCTTATATCAGCTATTTGAAAAAGAAATTTTTGGACCCAAAAAAGCTATTTCAAACTGCTTCTAACCAAACACCCCAAAGAGCTTTTTTGAAATGGTCAAACAACACTTTTTGCACCAAAAAGCTCCTAACCAAACACCCCCATAATCTCCATTATAATCCTATGTAAAATTACTGAATAAACAAAATCCCCTAGTACATTTTAATGCTAGAGAACATGTGGCAATTATCTTCAGAAGATGAATATCTCTTTTGATTTTCAAGATATGAATTAAAAGATGAATATCTCTTTTGATTTTGAAGATATGAATTAAGGATCAAATTTCATTGAATCAAGCATTTTTGGTAGGTAATATCATTGTTTCACATTGGCATTATCTGTAACCCTATCATTCACACCTCAAATGCTTAAAGCAAATTTGTCCATAGATGGTAACATATCAATGGTTTTGACCAACCTTTTTATTAATATTATTGTATATGTTATTTGTATTATTTTAATTTCTTAATAAGGCACCTAAAAATTATTTCTCTTCAAATTGAAGTATAATTAAAAAATGCCACCTCAAGCTGAAGTGGCAATGCTATCTTTTAGTATTGCATTTTGACATCCTAATCCTCCAAACCCTAGTGTTAACACCCCTATATAAATGATGTACTTGGTCTCATAACTCTCATTCTCATCACACAATTCTTGGTTATTATTTATCATTAATAACCTCTCTCAATTTCTCCATTTTTCTCTACAAAGTAGCAAGTTAGCATGGAGATCCAAAAGGATCAAATAGCTTTGACACTTGCTACCATGAAATTTCCCAAGGAAGAAGAAAAAGAGGAAATCTATGCACCAACATATATTATATTGCGTCTGCAATTCACCAAAATATTAATTTATTGAGCTGGAGGTATACCATCCAAATTCTCAAGTATCTTCAATATAAATTTATTACTTTTTGTGTATTTTGACGTGTGTTCATGCTTTTTTTTACTTGATACGGAGTAATATATATGAATGCCTGCATTTATTGTTCGTCAAAAAAAAATAAAAAAATTGCATGTATTTATTGTGTCTTTGTTTGGCGTTTGGTTATCTTCTTATAGAAGAGTTTTTCTTGTGATTTTTCAGCCATAACTATTTAACCTAGAATAAGATCGATATAATTTATCTGCAATTCTGTAATTTGTGTGTGTGTGTGTGATTTGCAGTATGCCCATGTAATGGGATGCCCACAAAAGCTATGACTTGCACTGATGAGATGGAGAACTACTATTTGATGTGCGGGGACCTGATCACAGCCGCAGGAAGGGTAAGCATCTCCTAGGCCAGCAGGAAAGCAGTCAGTGAAGCAGATTCTGTGGGCCAGGTGAGCCAAGTTGGTTCCACCTCAAACTGATTCTGTGGCCAAGTGAGCCTTGTTGGCTCTACCTCAAACTGATTTTGTGGCCAGGTAGGTCAGCCATGTTGGTTCCACCTCAAAACTGATTCCGTGGCCAGGTGAGCCAAGTTGGTTCCACCTTAAACTGATTCTGTGGCCTAGTGAGCCATGTTGGCTCCACCTCAAACTAATTCTGTGACCAGGTCAGCCATGTTGGTTCCTTCTTAAACTGATTCTATGGCCTAGTGAGCCAAGTTGGCTCCACCTCAAACTGATTCTGTGGCCAGGTCAGCCATGTTGGTTCCACCTTAAACTGATTAATGTGGCCAGGTTGGTCAGCCATATTGGTTCCACCTCAAACTGATTCTGTATCCCGGTGAGCCCACCTTAAACTGATTTTGTGGCCAGGTCAGTCATGTAGGTTCCACCTCAAACTACTTGCTCATTAAGAAGTCGGGTCTCTATCCTGGAGCATTTTATAATTATGGTACATCCACATGGCTAATGTGGGTGGTGGGCTGGTGGCATAATTGGCATATAATCACATAAAATTACCACTGCTGCTTAAAAAGCTCTCTTTACAGTGGAGGCGGCTCCGTTTATTTTTGTGGAAGACATTTTCCCGTACATGTCTCCATTTTCATAGGATAATATTCCGTAGAAAAATAATCATATGATAGCATACTCAACATAAGTTATCACTGCTACTTAAAAAAAATTCTCTTAACGGTGGAAACGATTCCGTTTGTAATTTCCTAAAAAATATTCTCCTACAGATCTCCCATAGCATCAGCTTCTGAACAGCAGCAAAACTGATGCTATGGCGCTTCTGTGTTACCTGCAATTCAACATATCATTGTGTGAAAATATGTTGAGGCGAGATCAATATAACTTGTAAATTTGTAGTGAACGTGATATTTACCCTTTTGATTTGAATGTGTACACAGCAGATTGTCCCTCGGCGCATTTGCTTCTGAAGAGCTAGCCTGAGAAAGCAAATTTGTTGCATAGATAGATACAATTAATAGACCAATTGTCTCAATAATTCACTGTTATAATATATTCTTCAGCATTTTTTTTATTTTGTTGTTTATAGCCAAAAGAATCACCATCCACAACAGATTGGCAATTGCACTTCTGATTTGCATTCTAAAATGTACATACACACCTCGATCAGATTATGCAAGGAAAGACCTCGATTCGAAAATTTTGAGCAGACTCCTCACTTCAATTTGACCATCTGCTCATCCAAGTTACTGTTTCATTGCATTTTGTCTACATGAGTTAGAGATGAGCAATGGGCCATGTGGACTAATACTCTTTAAGGCCTAAAGGCCCAATTCAGGTTTCAAAAGACGTTCGTACCCCTAATTTGGTCCAACTTGTGCAAAATTTCTCAGCCCAAAATTATTAGGGCCTAGGCCATGAGAATTGGTGGGTTGGACTGAATTCCAACCCAATAAATGGGCCTTAATAAGGTCTGGATATGGGAATTAGGTGAAGGACGAAATCAAAAGTGTGAGCAAACTCAGCTTTTTTACAGGGTTCTACACTTATACTCACTCTTCAATCTCACAAGTAACAATATGTGATACTCCCTCCGTCCCTTAACTACGTGTCTATTTCTCTTTATTATGTGAGTAATAAATATTAGAAATATGCACGTAATTAAGGGACGAAGGGAATACTATTATATTTTTCCTTTATTATTTGATGCAAAAGGTACAAATAATAATGAAACAACTAATTGTGGCATGGTCGCTCCTATGATATCCTTAATGCCAATGCATTATGAAGTAAATCATGTTTTTATCTAGTAAAATTGTGTTAGATCCTACAATGTAACAATTTTTATTTTTATTTTTTTTTTTTTTTCATTCTATAGGTAACAACTCATAAATATGTTACATCAAAATAGTATACGAGTAGGTTTTTATACCTTAATCTAATGTCTTTATTGCTATTCTTTCACCAAATACACAAGTTTTGTTTTTCTTCTTTATTGGTTGACTTCTTGAAACATTAAATAATTCTATCTTTCTTGGCTTGATTCAACATATCAACTCTAAAAATTAAGAAATTTAATTTGTCATTTTATGAAGGTATGAGATCATGCTACAATGGAACTACAAGGTTAGGTAGTATAAATATCTCAAGTTATGTTGAGAAAACTTTACATTTGTGTAGATAAATAATTCAATGGCCATGAAATGATGGAATTTATTAATTAATTTCTAGCTAATTAATTAAAGGCCTACAAAATTATACAAGTATATTTTATATATATGAAAATATAGAATATGATAATGGATCAATCTTACATCTACAATTTTACAAAGAAAAAAAGCAGGCTAAAGGCATAATTATTATCTTTGGATTACAAAGTAAGCAAACAAATCTCAATTGTCCTCATCTCTATGTTTTTTTGGCCTCGTTTCCAAATTAGCAATTAAACATGATTTTTCATATATTTAGGGATGTGCCAAGGATATGTCATTGCAGGTAGAAGACTCTAGGAGCAATACCCTACCCATTGTTCAATACTTATCTATTTATTGTAATTCTAGTCGTAAAAACATTATAGTATTAGCTTTACGGCCTGTTTGATAGATGATAAATCTGCGATGATGGTAATAAACTAATACCAAAGTATGTTGTGTATGACTTTGTAATATGAATTTCAACCCAATATTCATTATTTTTTGGGGTGTTTAGAGAGCAACCAAGGCAGGTGATGAATTTCATTCATTAACCCTTAAGGTGAGATTTGTTGAAACCTACTTCCTTTGTTTATTATTAACTTTTTTTTTTTTTTTTTTTTTAAGGAATCCTTTGTTTATTAAAGTTGCAACAAAACGACTTTTGCAATCAAATTTTTATAAATATTAACATGCTTTTAAACATATATTTATACTTCATCTGTTTATTTTTAATGCAAAACTTCGAATTCCATGCTTATCAATACGTT